ATCAACGTATTCAGATTTCAGCTCAGTGTAAAAGTCTTTACTGCTCTTACTTCCATACACGTTAGTTTCATTTCTCAGTGTCAGTGTGCATTCTCAAACAGAGCAGATAAGATTCAGGTGATTTAATGAAAACAAAATGCTATGTTGCAAGAAGGAAAGTAAAAGGTTAAAAAACAAGTGACAAACCTGACAGAACAACAGTGAAAGTTAGTGCATGTGAGAAGCAGGTGATGAGTTCTAGTCTTTGGAGCTTCCAAACCAGGGGTGTCAAACATAAGGGCTAGGGGCCATCATTGTTCCGACAATCTGGCCCTCTGGACAGTTTTGGAAAATATGAAGGAGGGCATAGATCTGAGACTTCATAGGTTTTCCTTACTAATAAAGACCCTTCCTATGGACATTCATACTACAAAGAAAGTAAATGAGTAATAGATAAACAAATGACAGAAAGTTCCTGTTTTTCCACTATCCACAACAGAAATGTATGACTCTTGCAGTGGATTCACTGTAGGAAATTTTAATTAAAGTGTAAACATACACGGCAGACCCAGTGGCATTTTGATGCTTTTTATTAATGCTTTGACGGTTGCTGTCCACAATACTCACAGAGCTGCAGCTCTCCCGCTGCCGACTCAACATTATCACAACAATAACGCCAACCACAGGACCCAGTACAATATTTAATTCGGTGGGACGTGATTGCGGATGCCGTGCAGGTGCGTCCGCCTCCTCTGCACGGCACCGCAGGCCACGCCCTGCCACATAAAGTCTCTGAAATTGTGTCAGGTAACACAAATTTTCAGTTTTGCGCAGACTGTCATTGCCCAGAACAGTCTGCGCAATGAGGTCACAGACCTTTTCTTATAATTTTGATGAGGGTCATCGATGGGCAAAGACAAACGGCATCATACGATAGGAAGAAGAAGAACAGACCAAACCTCAGCCAGAAGAACACCTTACATGACCCCTCCACAACATGAGGTCATTCATTAATAATATGCTGCTGCATGGTTTGGATAACTGGCTGTGAAAAAGTCCTGATCCTGAGCTTCATGTCCACACGGAAAGAGCGTTACTTTTCCAAGTCTTCAAATATCTGGTGTCCAGGCCACTGTGTGTCCAATTTTTAATGTTTATAAATCATAAATCAATGTAAGAAAGCAAGCACTTTGTTTTTTTACCAGATAAATCACATTTATCTGTCTTCTCACGCAGAGAGAGACTAACATCAGTTCAACGAGCACCTTCCAGCCCAGTTATTAATATCCTTTCAAGGTCCCAATTTGGTGTGCCAATTACTCTCTGGTAATAAAATGATTCGCTGCAGTTACAGTTGATTTCTGAATCATCTGTCATATAAAGCCACAGACTGAGCATCTGGAAGTTCAATCAGCTCCCGGATCAGTCAAGGTCACAACTCAAGAAGTCATCTTTATCAGTCTAAATGGATCAACCCCCCAGCCCCAGCCCTCACGGATATAAAGAAAAAGTCTTTATACCTACCATTTGACTCCCTTTAAACCTCCTTTGAATCCAAAATGTGCCAACACATAAAGGCTTAATCCTCTTCTCCTGCTCAGAGGATTCGGATGCATGTTTCTTTGAATCAGTTCTCTCACAAATTCAATTCTCTCTGTATTTATGGTGATCCTCATGTTAGCCTCCATGCTGTCTTTTCTCTCTTCACTTGTTCTGCTGCTTAACTCCATTTTTGTCATCCTTTCAAATACAGATTTGATGAAGCATGTGCTGAATTTAATAAACCTGTAGAAAGCTCAGAAACCTCCAACTTCACATTTCTGACCTTTACACCACTAGATGGTTTTAAGTATTTTCCTTACCTATAACAGCAGTGACAGAACATATGGAAAATTAGCTTCAGATCAATCAGGGTTGTGTAGTTTGAAGAAGTCAGAGCTCATAAATCATCCAATCCCAATGGGAGAGTGTGGATAAAGCTTAGTGATGCATTATTTACACAACCTGCTCACAGTTTCTGCGGGGCTTTCCACACTAAGCCGTCTCACAGCCTCACTGATTTATGCTCTTGCACCCGAACTTCAAGCTCTCTGTGCTTTTCATCATCCCTTCAGTATTTCACGGTCAGCCCGTCCAGCAACTGCCACAAACTAGATTCATCTCCGTCACAACTCACAAATAAATAAGCATAAACACACTTGAGGATGCAGCTTTTCGACCCAACAAACGCCATGAAATTACCAAAAACTTGCCTCTAATGGTTTTCACTTCTCCACACCAAAGAGGATACCCCATACAACTTCAGCAGTACAAACTTAAATCAAGCCTTGTGAGGCTGCAATGCATCTCTTTGAGTCTTCAGTTTGGAGTCTTCATTATGGTTATAGGGTTGCACTGCCTCCCCCACCGCTCAGTGCAAATCACAGGGTTTAACATCCCTTATTTTCCCTCAGTACATCACTGTAAATAATAATAATGATGATAATAATAATAATAATATTACAGGCAGTCAAAGTTGTTGAATTAATGATAAGTGAAAAACAATACATCACTTATATTCCTCAGAGAGGTTTGGTCTGCTGCCTAAAGTACCACTGCTCCTTCAGAGGAAGTATAAGAAAACATTTCTTCTGCCACGCACGAAAACGAAACATATTTACTGCTGTAACCAGACTATATTTCCCACTCACACACTGACTCGTGATCTTCATGACTCACACGATGGGAGGCGGGAGCATTGTCTCTCAGGACGACATTTGAGGTGGTTAAAAAATATTGGGAATCCCCATCAGGTGTCAGAACTGAAGAAGCCTTTTGTTATCCAGGCACCTGTTTATTTGGCATTTTATTCTGCCTCCACAGTCTTCTCCTGAGGTTTTGCAGATATGTTACCACCAACTACGTAACTTTGACCTGTTTGCCATTTTCAGTGTGTGAGAAGCAAGGTAGGCTAGTGTAGGCTCCAGTCACACAGGCCTAAAGTCTGATCTGCAACCACCTGACAATCAGTGGTCATTGGGGGACAAATGTATATTTCCGACTGTTTTGGCTGTTAGCATACCGCTGCAGTCATAGATTGAATGGAAGCAATAGACTCGTGCACAAACACAGAAACTAAAAGTTTTGCCTTTGAAAAAGTTTGCCTTGCACTTTCTTGAGTTGTTAGCAACCATTTGCAGATAAAAATGAAAAACCAGGCAATCTTCTAACAACGCCAACATGCCTTCTTGGGAACTGATTTCACCCAGCAAGAGCCAGAAACCTCCAACAACTACTGCCAACCAGAATACATGTCTCCTCAGCCAGCGTTTGAATCGCATCCAATATGGCACACAACCCTTAATTCATGTCATGTGAGAAATCTCAATACACGCAGATGTCATTTTTCAAACACAGGTATTGCCCCCTGGTCGCCATTAAATAGAATGCAGATTTCAGGAACATCAGCGGAGGCAGTGACACTAATGTTTACAGACATTACCCAGTCGAAAGACCAAACAGAACCTGAACCAAACAACTCCTTTATGATTCGAATGGCCAGCTAATATAGAGCTTAGATAACGTCAAAGGAAAGAAGATGAAACTAATGTTTGTCCAATTACTAACTTTGAACCTTTGCTGGAAGCATGCAAGAGGAACCACATCACAACAGGGGCAAATTTTCATGTAAAGCTAAAAAGCTAATAAAGTTTGAAGATTTAGAAAGTGCAGACATGTAAAAAGAAGAACAAATGATTCAGGCTCTATATGCTAAACACAAATAAACCAGGACCAGCCTCTGAACTTCTCATGTTATGAAGTCATTTTCCCATCATCCATCATTGGGAGCGTCTCTCACTGGGGTACTCAGCTGATGACCCAATCCGCCATGCCTGCGCCCGTCAAACACCCCCAACAGGAAGAGACGTATCCACCTCTCCACAGAGGCACATTAACCAGCAGCGCACGTATGAGCGACCCAATTTTATTTTTTCTAATGCGAGCCCTATGCCTGCTTTGCTGTTCTCAACAGGATATGAAAGATGAGGAGATCACAGACGGAGAGGGCCAGAAGCCTGCAGCAAACACAATAGGAGCGATGGTATCGATGACGTACCAGGAAGCTTATTTAGCCGCGCTCGTGCCCAAATTATTATTTCACACGCCGAATGAACAGCAGGGGAGAGAGCAGCGCTGCTGATGTAGCCTCTCGGCTTCCCGAGGAGGGAGTTGGAAACCGAACGATGGCAGCCCACATCATTAGGATGCTGACGGAGATACAGCCTCCATTAGAAGAATCCAATACCAGAGACAGTCAGGGAGTCATTTACACTCCACATAATAGAGCACGTCTCCTCTGACTTTTTAAAACCTCGTTTTAGTCCCTCTACATTTTTCCCTTCCTAAAATTCAGAGAGAGACATGAGTGGATGTAAAAGTCAAATAATTTCCATCAGCCGTAACATTTACAATAATTTCACTGTAATAACCACAGTGAGTTCTATTTTCATTTATTTTTGACTGCAAATTAAAATCGGAAAAACTATCGGAAAACTAAGCCATTACTTAAGTCCCAAAACATGCAGTTCCTCTGAGGGTCTCTAACAGTGCCTGAGTCCCCACAGGCACACATGTTAAGATGTCCAATCTTACCATAGAAATAAACTTGTTTACAGCCTGATAAAAAAAACAACCTGTTACTAGTTTCTATGTATAGTTTGCCTGTTAATCAGAGGCAGTGATTTTTTTAATAACGCAGCCTTAAACTTTGCATTATTAGGGCCGTGACTGTTACAATCATCAAAGATTGTGCTCCAATTTTAGTGAATAAGAAAACTTAGTTAGCACTAATTATCAGCCACAGCGTATGGACACAGTTTAGTTTTGATCACTTCTGGCATCAAAACAACTAACATGGTGGATTTAACGCCGAAGCTGACGTTTGTAAGCCGTCAAACACACCACCCTTTGTGGATGACGGAGGAAAGGAAAACTTGAAGCTCATAAAAGACTAACCATTATTTCATCATTATCCAATGCATTCTGGGAAATAGGATCCCTCTGTTTTATTATCCAGATGGACTATTAACCTGCAGGAAACAAAAACTGAAGCTTGATTGCAGTTTGAGGTTAACTGGCCAAAATGAAACCAGAAAACAAAACAGCTCCTATACACTGCCTACAAATGGTTTGTTTTAAGTGATCAGCCACGTAATGTCTTTGTTTCAGAAAGAAAAACTTTTCTCATTAGTTAAAATGTATTTATTAGATATTCTGTAAGTCTTAAAAACTCAAGTTGGTGCAAACTTCTTTTTAGGTTCATGAAGATGTTTTCAGCCTGCACAGAGATATGGTTATGCCCGGCTCGCTAAGGACATAAAGCAGATTCCTTTGTTAAGTATAAACTGAGGAAAAGAAGGACAAAAGAACACTACGTGCTAACCTATAACCAACACGTGACTGAAATTAGAAATAACTACAAACCAAAGCAGAAAGATGACCTAAGTGGGGCACCAGAAAGGCACCAGCTTTCTGGGAGGAGAGAGAGTGAGGAGCTGCCATCTTGGAACGATATCAGCTCATATAGGCTCCCAAACAAGTGAAGTTCTTTTTTCCTAAAGGATGGGAGGGGCAGTTAATGAGGACCCGGACAGAAAGAATCAAAACAAATGGATGGATGGATGCATGAATGCTTCACCTTTTATCTGAAAGGCTTCTTTAGTTATCAAAGCTGATGAGGAGTTTGAGATAATGAACCTCTAGTGGGGTTGTCATCTTGAGGTGTTTCCAACCTATCAGGGTCACATGGGCCTAATCTAAGGCTGCCATGACCTGGAAGACAGCAAACCCACGGGGACCTGCTGTACATGGCATTTAATAATAAATGGTACCATTCATCATGAGTCATTCATAGTCTTTACCCAAACGTTAACAGCATGGCCTAAACCTGTAGAGGAGTTTAAAGACCTCCAGAACGTTTCATCTATTCCATGTCAGATTTTTAATGGATTCATATTATACCTGCGTTAAGAAATACATGAATAAAATGGATGGATCAAATTATCAGATCAAAGTTTAAACACTTGCCTTCCAACAGCTAATAAGTTTCACAGACCTGCTCTGACTCTGTTAAACACCAAAAGCTCTGATATCAAAGGTCAAGAGCTCCAGTCATTATTCACAGAAATAAAGCGGGTCTGTGTCGGCTTCACGGGGAAATCAATCCTATTAGCGCTCACCGTGAATCATTTCAATTATGTTTCAGCGTCAGTCATCCAAAGACAAACACTTTAAAGTCCAGCAAATCCCCACAGAGCTCATAATGAAATACTGAGACAGTTAATGTTTTTGTACCACTTAGCAGAATAAAGACGCTTAAAAAAAAACAGACTCCAGTAGAAACATTTCACACATTTTTGGTGGTTTTATCTAAAGTGATAGAAGGAAAATATATTATCTCCTGACACAGGAGCTAACGCAGATAAATTCATTACAAATAGATCAAATTAAGGCTGTAAATAGAGAAAAATACTTGCTATTTGTTTTTAATTGTTTAATATGTCTGTGAGACTTCTGTGTATGGGAGGGTTGGGGTCTTCTACCAATGCCAATTAAAGCCTTTCCTTTTTTTACAATAATAGGGTGTGCTGGAGCTCTGTCTGCTGCACCATCTGACGCCTTTGGTATTTGTGGCAAATAAATGATGTGTTTTGGTTAAGAAACTACAGTGTGTGCCCGCTGTGGCACAAAGAAATGAGATATCTGAAAATAAAGCACTCAAAGCGATACATTTATTTAATGTTTGGGGGTTTTTTTGTCAGATTTTTTGCATTAAGAGAAAGGAATAATGTTTCCAGACATATCCTATCTGCTCAGAGGGGTGAGGAGACCTCGTATCCCCCACATTCGGATGGAAAATAACGGAAACTCATCGGACAGGAGGAAGACTTGCTGCTCCACATGGCTCAGGAATTCCAACTGTTCCGGGCCCACCTCAACCCTGTGCGCCACCTCGGGTTTCTGCAGGAGCTCCTCCAGGACGGTGAACAGGTAGCATGACTTCTGGTACCGGTCGACGGGAAACGTGTCAAGCACCGAGCCGTCACACCCCTGTAAAGGAAAATTAGTTTAACCAAAACTCGAATCTATGAAAGGACCAGTTTCCTGTGTGAGGTTTAAGGTCAGAATTCAGCAGAAAAACAAGGAGTACTTATTCCACTCACTTCACTCACTGTTACAGCGATACAAATCTCATCAACATAAGGGGAGAAACACGGCAAAAAGATGAACAAGGACAAGAAGAGGGGCAAGAGGAAAGACAAGGATGAGAAGACAGAAGATGATGATGAAGAGGAAGGAGAAGGAGGACATGAAGAACAAGCAGGAGGAGATAATTTTGTATTGTTGATCTTTTTAAGCGGGGGGTTTCCAAACTGGTCTCATGTGATGAAGGTCTGCGTAAGGTGCTGGCAGGTCTCAGACATGACAACAGCGAGACGAGCTGTCGCAACTCATCCTCGTTTTTAAGGAGACAACAACAACAAAAAAGTAATTTGAAATATTTTAGCGTCAATTAAGGGCTTATTTTCAAACTGAGATCTTTGAAGACTTGAAGGATCTGCAGGAGCCCAAATGATTATTAAAAGAACTGGAGCACTGGGGTAATCCCTGAGACGATGGGCTTTTAGATGATGAAACAACAAATACTCGTACCACGAGTTATTTAGCTGCAGATGAAAGATGAGAAACACGAGATCCGACTGTTTTCAGAGCACAAACTGAGTGAAAGGAAATACAACACACAACAGCTCAAATCAAAACGTAATTATTCAAACCAGCAGAAGCTGCCGCATCTCATACCAACTACATCCCAGTGAGAGAGAGTGTGTGTGTGTTATTTGCATGTCAAAGTTGGTGTGTGAGGGATATCACAAAGAAAAACAAGCGCCAGATGGCTGTCAGGTATTCCTCCTGGCAAAAACCTTCAGAGAACCGACAGGATGTGACAACAACACCCTCTTAACCCCACACACATACACACGCACACAAACACAAACACAAAGGCCCGGACCCCATCAGCATCAGGTCAGCAGCCATTTTTTAAAATCCCGATTCATGTTTTTCTGCCTGAAAGCTCTCCAGCTTCTCCTCTGCTGACACAAAGAGACGAAACATTGAGAGACACACAGATTCACCAAAAACACATAAAAAATCATTGAAATATTTCAGGGAAATGTGAAATTGTGAACACTTCAAATATGTCATCTTCCACTGTAACAACTGTAAAAATCTAAATCTTTGGGATCTCTGGTCCTCTGGAAGCGCTGATTCTGTGGAGACTACGGATCAGGAACACTTCCAGAAATCACTGAACACAGATGCCATCAAATTTAAAGTGACTTCATCTGTTTCTCAGTGTAAGCATCTGATGCTTTGTGCGTTGTACTGTGAATAAATATTTATATTTTCCAAAGTGTCCCAACATTTTTGGGATCCTGGGTGTATTTTAACTTCCGCTCACGCAGAATACTAGAACTGTGTTTTTGTTGTTGTTCATTACTTGAACTCACTGAATTAAAAATGCCTCTGATAGTCTGACTGGAGAAAGGAAAAAGCCAATTTCACCATCACCAAATAAGATAATATTTAGTCGTTGTTGGGTCTGTCTAGCACAGGCCCACCGCTGGAACGAGACAGTTTAATTACACAGCCAAAAGCATTGAACAGCAAGGAGGCAAAGTTCTTCGTGTTACTCATGCATGAGGGAGACCTGCCTGGAGCCAAGTGTCGTTCCACCCACTTGACCTCCGTCAGACTCTCAGCCAGGTTCCCCATAGCACTCCTGTTATTGTGGTTTACATGAATATGCATTGGTTCATTAACATATAACATCTTACATAGGTATACTTGTCTGTGTGTATGTAGGTGTGTGTGTGTGTGTGTGTGTGTGTGTGTGTGTGTGTGTGTGACCCCATAAATGACTTCCCTAAATCTGGAAGTCCAGCAGTTCATCTAAAAAAAAGGCACCTAGCCTAAAACAGATAAGTTTATCCTACCATAAAACAATAAGACATGAATGTGGGTGTGAATGCCAGAGTGCTCTGGAATGCACACAAAGTCTTTGCAGACAACTAAGGATCACACATCCTATCACTACACAATCGATTATACACCTCTAAGCATATATGGTTAAATATTTCTAAGCATAAATGACAATAAACAATACAAATCTAACAGTCGTGATGACTTGCTCAATCACTGCGTCACATTTCTGAGATCAGAGCTCCAGAAACACCTGTAGGTACATTTAATCGTTCCACCAACACATTTAAACCCAAGCAGCTACAGCACTTTAACTAACTAACCTTTAACTTGTATAGTTATAAAAATGTCAGTAATTCCTGAAGAGTTCATGAAAAACTTTTGTTGAACTCCTTGAATTAAAGCCAAAAAATTCTTGACTAATTTAAAATCTACTGTGGTGTTGTACAAAGGCAAAGCTACAAAAAATCAGGTAAAATCCTAAAACGTGAGAATTTAAATGTATTAACCCTTTCACGCATAGTGGTGACTACAGTGGACAGCTATTCAAAGACTGTTCTCTTGTATTTGTGTCAGTGTTAATGGTATACTTGCACATAAACCACTACATTGGACAGCGATGTGTCACTCCACACCCTGCTACCCACTGGTCGTTTAATGTAACTATAGATGTATGACATGTTTCATGGTAATGAAAAGAGCTCCCAAAAAGCCAGCTGAAGCTGAATTACAACCGATAAGACACTGTTAATAAACAGATTCAGGGAACACTCGATCGTCTCAGTACAACACAAAGTCAGGGATATCAAACCACTGTTAATCCATTTCAGCTGCTTTCATCCAAACTGACGTGAAAACAGATGAACAGGAGAGGGAACAACAAACCAACCCTCACTTCTGCAGGTGGTGGTCACAGACCGCTGCATTTTCTTCACTGATTTTTCTTAGTGTCCTCTACGTCACCTTCAGCCTGTTCAGCTTTATGTTAGCACAGGAAGTCCAGCTTATCCATACGTGTCACCTGAAGAAGGTTTGCCAAGTGTCCCGGCACAATCACGGGGGTGTGAAGGAGGCACCAGTAGGGATGCGAGCTCCACCGAGGCTCAGGGTGAAATAAAGGATGTTTATTATGATCTGTAAATCATGCAAAGCTACTCTAATAGAATCCAAGAGTAACAATACAAAGCTGGAAATGTTTAATGTTTATAGCTCGTTGGAGGGCTCACACATAATGATTATTCAATATGTGCTGTGCTGCTTCCAGACTGCACCACACACATGCAAAGCTCATGCTTATGTAACTGTGCTGTTTATTTAGAGGCATGTCAGTCAGTGTGAGCGTGACAGCAGGTTACAGTCCTGTTAGCTCTGCGTCTGAACCGTGAATTTATGGTATGCACATACTCACAGCATGTGGTTATATTTGGTGGAACACGAAGAGGCCGCAGATATTCGCACAATCGGCCGCCAGCGGCTGTCAGCAAGATGGAGACGGTTTCATCTGATGTGGTGAACACAGGCGTGAAGGCAGAGACGAGGCTTCGCAGGTCTTTGCTAGAGAGGCGACTCAATCCGCTCTGAGTCCTTCCTCTTTCACGTCGTTGTGCCGCCGACAGGCTTTGGTCTACCATCCGTTTAAAACCAACAAACCGACCAAGTGGTGAAGCTGAGACGAGGGAATGAAAGCAGTTCACACAGAGGGATAAGTGCAGAGAGAATATCATGATTAATTTTTAAAAGAACCTCTCGCTTTATACCAGAAAAACAACCAAAGCTCTGCACTGATCTCAGGAGGGCTGTCAACCAGTGTTTCATAATTTGATTATATAATCAGTTAAAAAAAAAAATTAGACATTCAGCTGTGAAATTAATATTCAATCGTGGGGGGGAAAGCAGCTCGCACAACTGCTGTCTGTCTCCTGAGCAGCAAAGAGGAAAACCTGACAGAAATACATGGAGCTATTCAAACATAAAGTCCTGCTCATTACCTGCAGATGAGCCGGCCCTTTGTTGTGTTACACCCCTCGAGTGAGAACGTTCTGTTATTGTTTAATCTAAATGCGGCGTTTGATTAGTGAGAGTGGACCAGCACTGGTAGCTAATCACTGAATGCAAACGTCTGTGTTTGGAGCATACTAACAACACCAGGAGAGTCAGAGCATTAAAGACTATTAGTGCATCAGCTCGGCCAGCAGATCCATCGCCTGAGTGAAATACAGCAGCTGTGGATGAGAGCAGAGCTCAGGCTTACATGCTGCTTGATTAACTGCTGTTTGATATCGGACACATTCAGCGTCTGATTTCAGATTTTCAGTTCAGTCTTAAGGCTACATACGTTGTTGCATTTACCCTCAGACATACACTCAGGTCATTTTCTCCAGTTTGCATAAAAATGTTATGATAAAAAGTTTGGACACATATATAACGGTGCCTGTGAATTAATCAGTTAAAATTAGAGTAGTAGAAATCTGTTCTATTCTATTCGGGTTAGACCGTCAACTTTTGTTTTTGTGGCACAGCTTGTGATATTTGCTAAGTCAAGCATAAAAGTGAAAATAGCATTTACTTCATTTTTGTGACAAAGAATTTACAAAAAGTATTCTGTTTTATTTGAGTATTAATGTGAAATATAACTATGTACGATTCAAAAATGATCACTACATAGTTTTTTGTGCTATAAATTTTTTTGTTTTCTTTTTAACGCTCAACTAAAGGACTTTGAATGTTTGAATGTTTTAATATGCAAAATGTAAATCACACTTCAGGCTTCACATGAAGCCGCTGACTGTAGTTCTGTTATTACCTTCACTGAGTTTATGTAACAAAGATATGACCTATCTTTGTTCACCTCTGTCAGTGCGCCCCAGGGTGGCTGTGGCTACAAAGTGTGAATGTGTGTGTGAATGAGTGGATGAGTGGTTGTGTAAAGCGCTTTGGGGTCCTTAGGGACTAGAAAAGCGCTATACAAATACAGACCATTTACCATTTACTCTCTTGTAATTAGCACAGGCCTAAAAACAACCAGACCTAATCACTGTTGATGAAGTCCAGTTATTTTCATTACTACC